AAAGTCCTCTTTTGATTTTACTTTGTTTCCTAGAGATCTCTATGAATAGCTTGCACATTCATGTAATGTTTCCACTAATTCTATACAACTGAAGATAATGACAGACTAGTAAAGAAACATATCCCGCATTTAACTAAGTTTTAGCGCAGTGTTTCTCAAACTGTTATTATTATCATCTTATGTTAGTCTATGGTCTCCTTGCTTTTCGCTTGACCAGCTGAAGACCCGGAGGAACACTGTTGGCTGGCAAAGTGAATACGAGAGATCTGTACTGTAATTATGAATAAGAAAATAAACTTAAAGACATATTATAACACAATTTTCCGTTGTTTTTATCAGTACATATATATTTTAAATATATTAGGAATCTATATTTGCGTAATGGGGCGCGATGGCTGAGTGGTTAAGCGCTTGGCTTCCGAACTTGGGGTCTTGATTTTCAACCTCAATGAAGACTGGGATTTTGAATTTTGGGATTTTTAGGACGCTCCTTAGTCCACCCAACTTTATTGGGTACTTGACATAAGTTGGGAAACGTAAAGACGGTTGGTCGTTGTGCTGGCCACATGACACCCTGCTTGATGACCTTAACATCATCTGCCCAATAGAACGCAAGGTCTGAAAGGAACGCAGCTTTAATATTGACTGAAAGAATTTTCATTAAATATTTTGGTCTTTTTATTTTTACGGAAATATTCGACGGCATTACTTAGAAATAAAATTGTATAAAATATTTCTAGTATGTTTTGATTCACTATATAATATTTTTTACTATGACATTAACTTTTAATGTGACCCCAGAGACCAATCATTAACACACATGCATGGTTACACAGTTAGGAGCAGTTAAAACAGAGAATCTTGAATTTATCTGACGCAGAGCTAAACTACAATTGGTATCAAACTATGTTGAGATGTGACACGCGCATAAGAAATTGTTGTTATTCCATCCATTTAAAAATTCACCAATAACTTTTGCTATATGATAGCTGAGATTTTAGAAGCTGTCCACGTACAGGTGAGCCTACAACTAATTTGAGAATCGTATTGGTACAATGCAAACTGAAAAACAAAAGAGTTGTTCTTGTTGTTTGTCTTGTGTTCAGTGCATCACTTTACTAGAGAGTTTATTGAGAGCTTCTTCTGAGTTGTCTAAAACCTTGTAGAAATATATTCGGACAAGTGCACTTTTAATAAATATAGTTCAGTTATTGTTCAGCCATACTTTAAATTGTTTCGACAATTAACATGAAATATAATAGGAAAACTGGTCAAGTTGAAGATAGAATGTAAGCAATTAGGCTATATAGCTATTAACAGCTTATGTCTAATTTTAATAGTTCACCAACCAAACGGACTGACTGACTACATGACTAAATGAATAACTAATTCAGAGCAGAAAGGAAGAATTATGATTTTGGGACCAAAAAAAAGACAAAGCAAAATATTTAATAAGTGGACGGTTAAAAGAAAGAAAATTTGGAGAGGGTAGAAAATTTTGTTTGAAAATTGAAAAGGATTGTTATTTTGCAAAACTTATATCAACTCACTCTGTCTGTCTGTCTGGTAAAAAGTTTGAACAAGTTTTTTCTCCCATTTCCCATTCTGGGATCAAATTAAAACTTTGCACAATTATTCATTGAACCTGACAAGACATGAATCAATAGCAAAAAATAACCAATTAGTCAATTAATTATTGGTGATAAATCATTTTGTTTAATATCGAAATATGGGGAATAAATGCTACTTTATGAGAGATGTGGATGTATATATTGGTTTAATCCACTTATTACGTTTTACACGTTTTTTCTCGCATTTCAAATTCTTGGATACAGTTAAAATTTCGCATGTTATTCATAGTCGAATCAATCCAAAAAATAACAATTAGTTAATCAATTAGTACTAAGTATTAATTTGTTTTATATATCATAACGGAAGCTAAACCCTAACATTTTCAGATAAATGGCAGAATTATCGGTTCTTTCGTTAGATGAGCTTTTGGTATTAATTGTTTTTATATTGCATTTTTTGAAAGGATTGACTAATTTTTGATTAACTAAAGCTACAACAACATTTAGTTACATTGATACTTTGTACGGGGGGGGGGGGGGGAATAAATAGTTACAATGATCCCAGGTCTCATACATCTCGGGCCTTTCATGATTGGGGTAGGAGCCCCACCCTTGTTTCCCTACTAGATCTAGATCTATATGCATTTGTTGATTACGTTCCGGTAATGTTAGCCCTGAGCACAGGATAGATGTACCTAATAAGGGGTTTAACTCTGCTTCATTTATTGGCTAAAAATCTGACCTAGTTACCTGCCAGGTCTATAAAAAGAAACAGTCAACAGAGGTGTCGCTAGACTTCATATGTTTCTAACCCAGCTGTACAGTTCAACGTAAACAGCCTTACCGACTTAGTATTCTAGAACGAGCAAAGATGCCTGCTGCTTACTTCATTCTCCTTCTGGTACGTACGAATTACAGACATACACAAATATTATTTTGTTTTATCTCTCCATCATGTTAATGTTATTACACATGCCATGTTATACGCTAATGTAATGAATGCTTTGTTAAGTTAGTATAAGTTATGCATAACATATTTATCAACGGTATGTAGAGTCTATATATTTGTAATCATTGAGATGAACAGCTGTACAGTTTATAATTAAACTAAATTTAAATACATTTTCTGCTTCTTATAACAAACAGATCTTATAATTACAAAATTTATAATCGCTGAGATGCGGTTACAAAGAAGGTGTTGAAATTTGAATTAAAATAGACGAAATCCTAAATAAATGAATTGGTTTAACCAGTCAGTCTATAAATGGACGCATTTGGTGAAGTTACTGGTGAAGTATCGTAAGATCAATCTTAAAAAGCTAGACTTTGTTAGTGTTCTATTACGTCACGTCCTTTAGGTAATGTTTTCAAAGCAATTCTGTAGTATTTCTAAATACAATGTCAACACAGTACAGCAAGAATGTTGACACACTGATATCTTATAGATTTCTTCTTTTTTTCCTTTTAGGGACTTTCCGCAACATCACAGGTAAGCCAATTTTTATAGTAAAGAAAATATATTGCATAGATTATATTATGCATTACCAATAATTATGCGAAGGTTTTTAATTCCCTGCAATAGCAGTTAGCACTCTGACAGATCAACAATTTAATATGATTCTATTTTTTTTTTTGTTTTAACTCATGTTGTTCTGATAGAAGTAGACTATTCTCGATAATCATAATTTAAAAATAGTAACAGTTCATCTCGAGATTCAATCGTTTAGTTTCTACGCCTATTTGTACACTGATACAAATGGGACAACTTAGAACAAATCAGAAATGTTATCTTACATAATGTGTCTAGACTAGTAACACAAATATTTATAAACAATTACTTTATTTTGCTTAATTAATTATTCTTTTTTTTTTTTGACAACAGGTTTTATCATGTGAGTATAATTAGTTAAAATGAATATAAACTATGTATGTATGTATGTATATATGTATGTATGTATGTATATATGTATGTATGTATGTATGTATGTTTGTATGTATGTATGTATGTATGTATATATGTATGTATGTATGTATGTATGTATGTATGTATGTATGTATCTATCTATCTATCTATCTATCTATCTATCTATCTATCTATCTATCTATCTATCTATTTATCAATCTATCTATCTGTCTGTCTGTCTAAAGCATACCCATATCTGTGTGTACATTGTATCTCTTAATCTTATTTTTCGTAACTTTTGAACAAAGTGACATTGTAAATAAAGGTAATTCAAGTCTCTACTTTCTGTTTCTTTCTTTCCTTCTGCCGCCTCAACAGATTGAAACATTTGTTCATGTCCTATTTTTAACACCTCAAATATTTACATTGACTCAGAACAAATAATTCTTTCAATACATTTTTTTTTAATATCACATTTTGTTTTCTTCACACTGGACAAATAATTTTTTTTTTCTATTCACTGTACTTTAAAAAACATGCTAATCCTGGACAGACTCCACGAGACATTTGTCTCGTGTTATGCAGCCACCATTTAATCTCTCATTCTCCTCTACATGCATTGATCCCTGTATTTAGCCTTAAGTCAGGTCAATACTTCGTTCATTTCTATTTCCCCGCAAGAAAAACATGACATTAAAGAAAGTTGATTGATGTTTATTTACAACACATATAGCAATACAACGATGACATGACGCTGGGCGTCATTTTTGTAGCGTAGCCAGAAATACAAGATGCTGTCTTTTTGGGTTTTATTTGGGATTTAAATTTAAATGTAGTTAGTATCTTGCTTTATTAATTTATTCTCTACCATAAAGCCAGTATATAATAATAATAAAAATACTATTAAGTTAAATAATTATAATAATAATAATGTTTACTATCTATAAAGAAATTCGTCTTACAATTTGTAAATCACACCAAACAAAATATTATAACTTTAGAAAACTGAAATATACATTCACTCACTCATAATTTAAATTCGAAATGTTTATATCAGATAGTGTAATTGTATTTATACATAGTTACACAGCAGTTCTGTAATGGAGACAGTTGTTGAATAAAATAAAAAATATTCAATATTAAAATGTCAGGTTGATGTACAGATTGTAGTGAAGTTTGAATTTGAAAATAACAATTCGTATTGTATATTAATATAGAAACTCGTCGATGGTTAAGGGGGAAAATGTTAAATTACTAACATAATATTGTCTAGTTGGCTTATAAGGCTTTACTTCGAGTCCGAAGATTAAGAAGGAGTACATTATTTCAGGCTGCAAAACATAGCCTTTTCCCCAGCCTGCGGTCACAAGGCCTATTTTTAACGTGGTAATTGGCTTGCACAACTTTCTCACAGGATTGCTATAATTATTCATGAGATGTTTCATAAGGTAGAATTAAAATGTAATCCGTTGTATTCTAACTCAATCCATTGTATTCTAACTCAATCCATTGAATTCTAACTCAATCCACTGTATTCTAACTCAATCCACTGTATTCTAACTCAATCCACTGTATTCTAACTCAATCCATTGAATTCTAACTCAATCCACTGTATTCTAACTCAATCCACTGTATTTTAATTCAATCACTGTATTCCAACTCAATCCACTGTATTATAACCCAATCCACTGTATTCTAACTCAATCAATGTATTCTAGCTCAACCCACTGTACTCTAACTCAATCACTGTATTCTAACTCAATCACTGTTTTCTAACTCAATCACTGTGTTCTAACTCAGTGTCTCGAGATCCCTGCTCCGTGTTCGACTGCCAGAACGGAGGCTCCTGTACGGCTCCCGCTGACGCTCCAAGTTGTATTTGTCAAGCTGGTTTCTTTGGAGAACATTGCGAATGTAAGTAATTAAAATAAAGAAGTCGACATTACAAAGCAAAAATCATTTTGAATAGCCCAAAGGTTTTTCTCACATTTTTCTTATTATTTAAAACGGCCCATCACACTACATTTTATTTTGGCCTGAAAATTATAAGATGATGGAGGAATGTTATAAGCTATCCACTTCCCTTTCAAAACTGAAACTCTTATTCACAATTTTGTCAATTCTTCATACATGAACTTTTTTACTTCGTCACTTTACGTTCAGTCTCTTGTTCGAGACGCACATTATACACACTCAAATTATTTTCACTCGTGTTACACTCTGTAAGCTCTGAGTGTGGGGGGGGGGGGGGGCGCGTTACCTTTGTTTGCCTACCCACCTAGAAGAAAGAAATTCCAACCTCTGCTGCTACCTTAGCGCGTAGGAAAGTTTTAGGAAATAGAGGAAAGATCAGGAGCCAGTTAGCCTTAGACAGCCTGCAGTTTTACACTCTTGCATAACCTGCGACGCCATTGTTTTTTATGTCTACATTTAGTGGTTACGTGCCAAAAGATACACGCTAAAAGAGTTTAAATACTGTTGAAAAGCGTAAGAAAGTGTAATGTTATAATTTGTGTATATGTCGGCTTAAAAAAAATAAACTGTGTGGCAATAAATAATTGTATTCTTTCAATGTAATCGTCTGTGGTTTTGATCGTTAAAGTAGTTCCATTGTTCTATTCACATGGTTTAGTGTTGCTAGCAAATTGTTTCGTTTGTTTAATGGTCTCTTTTTTTTTAAATTTATTCTTGCAGTTAATCGTGACCCATGTTTCAAATTCGGTTGCCTCAATGGTGGTCGCTGCACTGCCCCAGCTGATGCCCCATACTGTGTATGCCCTGCTGGTTTTAGTGGACCCAAATGTGAAGTAGCTGGAAACAGTCAATGTCCGGTAAATTCTTGTTGGACATCTTTTTAGTTACAAGCTGAAATCTGCCATGAAACAAATGAAGTGTATTAAGACAGCAAAACTATCTATCTCAGCTATTTGAGACTGTTCTTGTGGGCCCTAGGCCATAGATTGTGCACCCTATAGCTAAATGAAAAAAAGGCAATATTCTTAAATGTTATGTATTGTATTAAGTGCCAGAACAAACAAGTCTTATGAAGATATTTATGACGACTATTTTCGAGAACTGCAATGTGTATGCTGGAGAGTATCCAGATCTAATGAAGCTACAAAGTTCATCTCAACTGTCAGATAATATCATCTAGCCTAGACCAAACTCCATTCAAACACGTTCTCCTTGAAAATGTTTAACAAAATATTGAGACCAAAAAAACTTGTATACATGTCTACTTGAACAAAAAAAGAAAACTGAAAAGACAAATATGTTCTTTCATATCAGCTATTGTTAAATAATTGTCTAGCGGAACTATCGATTTAGTTATCATTCAAGTTTTAATTGCTTTTATTTCGGGATAATTAAAAAAGTTTTTTTCTTCTATTTTGCCATTCTCTGATAACTTTGAAAAGATGAAATAACTAGTATATCTGAGATGAATTGCTCAGTTCCCAGGTCAGTTCTAAATTCATAATTTGTGAGGAATTTCTAGGTCTGACTTTTAAAAAATGAATACGCACACTTTAAAAACATACAATCTTCTCTGTTGACTATCTCTAATGATGTTCATAAGGAAAGAAACACGTGCACTTTAAAATAAATTCTATTTCACAAATATAACTTCTTTGTTTGTTCTACAGATCATTGACAGTGACAGTCTCGGTATTTGTGGAGGTATCTTCTGCTCTGCAGACTCTGATTGTAGTGACGGACAGATCTGTTGCGCCAGCGCCTGTGGGTCCAAGTTGTGTACTTCTGTAGTCAAAGTCATAGAACCTACATGCCCAGGAGGATGTAAACCTGGTTGGTAGTTTGTTTTCAAACGTGACCAGATTCTGTCAGTAGCTTTTCTAATGTTACTGTTACATTTCCTAAACTTAAGTTAAAGTAAAACAAACAAACTATATTTCAGGAAGTGAGATATATGTGAGATATAATTATTATCAATTAAATCTGGGAATACAAGATAGACGCGTCCTCACATTTGATATGTCGTCATTTACAAGATAAAAACATTTTTGTTTCATGGATTTAACAAACCTACACGAAAGTCTGCTCTGTATAAATGTTCTTGTATTTAAATGACCTACCAGGCCGGGGGGGGGGGGGGAGGAGCGCTTAACGCTTGTTAAAAAGCTAAAGATGAATGTAGTTCGAATATCTTCTTTTATGGACAACTCGCGATTGGCATTAAAAAAAATGTTCGTCCCCACCTCCGTAAATGTAATCCAACGAGACCTCAAAGCAGTGGACTTTGATGTTCCCCACTGGAAAGGCATAGCCCTGCACCAATTAATGTTGAGATTGATGGTAAGAAAGAAAGACAGTGAAATAGCATTGGGCTCAGCTCTGGAAGATAAGCGTGTCAAACGATGTGAACCGCACCGAGACTAATCGTTAGAGCAGGCCTCAACTTTGACCTGCGACGTCGCAACCTGTGGATAGTGAAGACCACTAGCACGTCTCTCCGTCACATGTCTGTACACCAGACCTATAACGTGGCAACAAGCTACTAGCCTCCCCTGACCATAGGTTGCCACGTCACAATGTCAGTGTTCAGGCCTACTGTGACGATCGGTCTTGAACAAACTAGTTCAAAGACAGAAGGACGTAGACGAATGAACCACGTGGTCTACCCTCTTTCTTGCTCATGTTTTTTTTGGACTCTAGTTTACCCTTTCTTCTCGTGGACGTCACATTTGAAGGATCCTTAAAGATACGCTGTAGTTGCAGTTATCTTTTTTTAACTAGCAGCAGTATCATTGGATATTAAACTTACTGCGTAAAGATTTATTTGACAATCAGTACACCCAACGCTGTCTAATTCAAAGCAATCTGCAGTTACAAGATATATGTCTCATAATGCTGGAAAAAGACAAAAAGTGGATACCATAAGCGTAGCAGGATTTTTTTCTAGAGGGGGGAGGTAAATTCACCACGGCCACATATATATACTTATAATTAATCATTATTACATTCCAACCCTTCATTCTTTCGGAAGACGTTTATTGTACTCTAGAAAAGGTTCTTCCTAAAGCAAAATTTCCGGAAATAAAAAAAATGCATATTCTGAGGTATCTACATTGCATTATCCTCCTATTCAAAAAGTTTAGTTCGAAAACCAATTTTGCTATTTACTACACTTTATTAACGGAGCCCAGCGACCGGAAGAAATGTGTAACCCCTCTTGGCTGCGCTCATGGAATTTGGTGAATGTCTTAAGTTTTATCGTCAAATCCATATGTTAGGGGGTTTTCACCTAAAAATATTCTGGAGTTGTTGTTGTTTTTTTTTTGTAAACAAACGAAAACCCCCTTAGTTACGTTTATAGAATTTGTGACTGTAGTTTGATTTAGAATAATATTGTAAAGGAGGGTTTTAACCTCAAAACTCTCTGTAGAGCGGTTTTAAGCTAAAAACCACCTGGAGCGGTTTTAAACTTTTAGGCCTCTGGTGGGGGGTTAAGCTCAAAACGCCACTTGGCTACGCTCAAAGAAGTTTGTAACTGTAGTTTGCTGTAATTTTATATATGCTTTGCTTGCTTCCAATCTCGCTGGAGAGGGTTTCAACTCAAAACACTCTAGAGGGGGAGGGGATCAATTTAAAACCCCCCTCTTGGCTACGTTCTTAGGATCTGGTGACTTTTGTATGCTTTAGTACTATATTGAAGAGAGGGGTTTATCGTTAAAAAAATTTGTTGGAGGGGGTTTTAAACTCAGAATCGCTACGCTCATGGAATTTGGTGACTGTCATTTACATTATTCCTTTTTTTTATAGAAGAGGGGGATTCAACACTCAAAACTCAAGTGACGGTTTAACATTAAAATCCCACCTACGATAAACAAAATCAAAGGAAATAAATCACTTCACCTAGTTCCACCCCACCATTTTCAGAGGAGGCATTTAAACTAAAGAACCCTGGCTACTCCCATGGTGGATACAAAAGGTGGAATTTCTCTCTCTCTCTCTCGTTGCCACCAGACTCTCTCACAAAAACATCTAAATATATATTGTTACGAATCTCACTATCCAGTCGATCCTTCCTGAACCATCATGTTGACACTCGTCTCGGCCGACCGTCGTAACTCGTCACGGTTGACCGCTCGTCTAGCGCTGGCCTGGGGCGAGTACACTCACACCACTACCCCCATCTGTGCCACCACCAGGTTTATAACAATATCTTATTATTTCAGGTTATAAATGTGAATTGAGATCCCCAGTGTGCCCTCCTGGATTCATGTGTCCAGCAGTCATGAGACCAACTTGTGTAGCAGTGGTGAGTTACAGAAACACTTTAACACGATTTGAGTGCACTTAAATATCGTTGCATCCACCAAGTAACAATTTTGTAACACTTTTTTCTTTCTTTCATCATTTTTTAATTCTAAACAAAAAAAATACTCTTTCCATCTATTTTTTAGCACACATTTTCAAAGCAGACTTAACCCTACCAACTGACAGGAAATTAATATTTATTTATTATAGAGCAGTTTTTGATAGTTGTATATGAAAATCATCCCATGTCATCCCCTTCAAGGGCTGTTTAGATATATGAATGTTTGCTACACCTATAAAACAAAATCAAATACTCTTAATAAGGAGAATTTTGTTTTTCGAATTATTATAACGAAAACAATAACTGAAAATATCATAAATCAAGGAGGAACTTTCGAACGAGCGGGGGGGGGGGGGAGAGAGAGCTTAACGCAACTTAAGATATTGCCATAATTAAACTACGCTGGAGGAGACTTAAATAATAGAGAGATTGTATATATTATTGAAAATGAGTGACTACATTTCTCAGAATGATTTTTGTGGAGGCTGTGAGGAGGGGACAGTCTGTCAAGACACTGGAATACGTTGCTTCACCACGCCCTGCCCTTCATTTAAGTGTGTAGCTACAGACCCTTGCGGTGGCTGTCCCAAGGGAGAGAGGTGTGAACAACTGTTTCCGCCATGCGCACCCCCACCACCCTGTGAAGAGGACCTCAATACGCCCTGTACACGGCCCCCTTGTGATCCAATAAACACGTGTGTCCCTGAAACTACAGTAGAACCGGTGCGTAAATCAAACTAATTGAAACATTAACTGTGCTAATCTTTTTTTTTTTTACTCTTTTTAACATTAGCTTCTCACTATTAATTATAAGCACTCACTAACATAATCTTATTGCATCATATGTCGCGATGGGTCGTTGTGTTGACAGCATGACACCTTTATTAACTGTTAACCTAGTAGTTCACACGGTATGTTTTAAAAGGAGAATACAAAGCGGTATTTTTAGAACTAAAAAAAAAAGATTTTAATAATTGTTGTACAACACTTTTTATTTTCAAATATGTACATGATTCAACTAAAGAAACTGCCTATTAAGAAGATGTTAACTAACTTATTATAGTTTACACTTAAAGTACACTAGGGCTACTGTCAATATGCTTCTACTTATAAGAAGTTATAGGGCTTCCTCGGCAATGCTTATTGAATATATTTACAAAATATTTTTTAACTAAAAAAAACAACAACTTAACTTTATGCAAACACTATTTCCAGAGTAACAAATTACTAATTTCTGTATTACTTAATTCAAACGAGCCTCAAGAGTATGTGTCTTTTACTTTTAAGAATAACATTTTACTTAGGTCTAAATATCTATGTTTTGAAGTAATGTTTACAAAACTTATACCAACTCACTCTATATGTATATCTGGAAAAAAAAATACACGTTATTTCTCCGACACCCGATCTCGAAGCAAGCTGACATTTTGCACCATTCTTTCTTTTATCTGACAGCACAAGAATCAATTTAAAAAAAAAACAACCAATTAGTTTATTAACTATTGGTATTTATTGTTTTGTTTGTTATCTCAAAAAATAGATACATATACAATATTCTATTTTCATAAGCGCCTCACTAGCAGACTGGCTAATATGTCGGCTTGAAGCATGAGTTTGAATTCAGGTTGTTTCCCCCTTTTTTAATAAATGCTTTTAAAAAGCGATTGCTGTAAACTTCACCCAGATCTCCCTTTCTTTCTTTAACCCCCTCCCCTTTGGCCCAACTAGTCCAGATATTTGATTGGATCATTGCATATTGATTTAAGCTAAAAGCATGAAATTTGGTAAAAATATTTCTAATCACAATGACTTATTGATATTGGTCTAGATTAGGATCAATAACAAATTAAATTATATGACTGATTCAAATTAAATGCTACAATTACACTTCGTGTACGCTTTTTTTTTTAAAAGTATTTCTCAACGTTTTTCTTGTTATCTTCTTTTTGACCTTGTATTTATTTTAGCCAAAAGATCAGTGCGGAGGGTGTCCATATGGTCAAGTTTGTAAACCTACCAACATTGTATGTATCCGCGCACCTTGCCCAACCCATGCATGTGTAGCAGACACGGCTCCCGCAGCTTGTAATCTAGCATGCAAGAGAGGATACGTCTGCAAACTAAAGGTGCCCGATTGCCCCCGAAACAGCCACCTTTTTTGCCCAACTAAGCCAGTCCCACAGTGTGTGCCTAGACAGTTGGCCAGTTGCCCCAAGCCTGCCCAGACGAAAAAAGTGCCTTGTTTGTTTATCAATATAAAGTCCCAGTGTTTCAGCGACAGGGACTGCGATCAGGGACTTAGCCAAAGATGTTGTCCTACCCAGTGTGGTACCAGCAGGCAGTGTACAGTTGTACCAAGGTTTTAAACAAAAACATATAGGCTGTTCTTTGTTTGACCTTTGTAAAAAGAAAAACAATCTTTTACAAGGTCTTATTTGTGATATGGTTGGTTGAACAGTTATACACACATATTTATATTGGAAAATGAAAAGCATAATATATAATATTAAAAGTGTTTGTGTTTTGTTTGCATCCATTAACCTTGTCTCATTTAAATAAAGCGTCCTTGCACCATTTTATTAACCAATGAAAACAACGTGTAATATTTTTTTTTTTGCTTGATAAATAAAAAGATATTTAATGAATGTATTCTTTCCTAGAGTCTAGTTACTGGAGAAGTATATCATACATGTGAATTGGGTTAGTTGATTTGCTACGCAAGTTGTAAATGGAGTCCGGAGCTGGAGCGCCCCGCTGTCTCCGTAAAATCATATAGCCGATAAGAAAGATTTACCCCCAGCGATCTGTAGAATGACGTTGCGCCTTTTTGGGTACGACTAGAAGTGGATTAAATACTTCTGTGAATTCTCAACGGGTCATTTAAAAAAAAAAATACCACGAACTTGTCCATAACCAGTGCATTTAGACACTGCCGTAGTTGCGTAGCCCTCAAACAAAAATTTAAAACAGTTAAAGTTTCTAATTTCGAAATAAAGTGCATTCATTATTTAAGCCTTCCTTTTTCGCAAAGAATAGATTTTATAAAAAAGATAATACAAGTGAATCTCACGTGCTTTCTGGACGGCAAAATAGCGATAATTTTATCGAAATCGTTTTTTTTTCCACTAGGTCTTGTTTAATAGACGAAATTGCAAATTAGTGAGTCGTAAATTCGTTATCATTGATTGTAAGATCTTTTCCTCAAAGTAAGTTTGGAAAAACTTTACTTGCATGTAGCCACACTTACCACAATAGTAGAAAAAAATATATATGCGAATCAAGATAGCAATATTAAGGAAATGACATTTTTTAAAAATAAAACTCTAAAGCTCAATAACTCAATAGCTTTGGAAGTTTGGAGACTTCTGGAGAAACTGCAACAATTACCTGAAGCCCCACAAACAAAATTCTAAAATTCTAGAAAATCTATCTTCGTTTTTTTTTCGCCTGGCAATTTGTTTTCTTGTGGCAAAATAGGTCTTTGGAGCTGTGCATGACAATGTATCAAAAAACTTTGATCCATAATTTCAGATGTTTGGTGTACTGTGGAAAAAAATCGAGAAATATCTGCTTTTCAAACTTTCTGTAGGATTTTTAAAATGATTTTTCGTGAGCACTTATATAACAATAAATTTGTTTTTATTTTGTTGGGACAAGTACTTATTCAGCTTTAAAAGAAAACGCATGATGTCCAAGATTCTCTTCAGATAATCTCTCCACATTTTCCCCTCTTCCTTTTTAAAATCTTGAGCCTTGCTGTCACTATTGTTGCCTAGTCACAGACAAACTTCAAGTTCCCTCTAAGCAAGTGATGTGTGGCTGAGAGGCTAAAACCTCTTGGTTACGGCTTATCCATCTTAAAAGGGGGCTTGAGTTTCGAATCCCGACTCTAGTAGGTTGTATTAGCTGAGCGGTTGGAAAACCTTCTCCCAGATACACTCCCCCCCCCCCCCCCCAAATGGTTCACAAAAGAGATTGGACCATTACTAATTAGTCATTTAAAAAATAATACAATGAACTTGTCCGTAACCAGTGCATTGAACAATGAAGCAACATGTAAGGCTTCAAAAAAAAAAAAAGGGTAAAAGTGCGTTACCTTCAGAGATTTAAACAAACCTGATAAAATTTGATTCAAGCCGGTCTAGAGCTTACATTAAAATTAATTTAAGTATATAGGACCTAACAAATTACCAAAACAAATAAATGTGTTTGTTTTCATTTATGTAATTAAAAAGTGCAGTTTTACTGAGAAAGTTTGTAATCAGTTTGAGGCCCCTTACCACTTGATGCCCCGTGCGGCCCGCACTACCCACACATTGCTAACTACGCCACTGCACTGCCGATGCCCAAACTGACTTTGTTTTATTTTTGTCTTTCCTTTGAACCCAAGAGCTTGTGTAAAGATGAAGTGTGTGGGCAACAACAACCGTAGCAAAGGACCAGGTTCTCATCTTATCTCACTTAGGTACCAACTTTAAAACTGTAGAGAGGATTAATAGAGCTCTGAAGCAATGAGCCCTAACATAATACATCTGTAGTCTGATCCTCTAGTAATCGTTTTAATATAAACTAGGGGTACAGCTGATAGAACTATTTAATATCCGATGTGAACCTGGCCTAACTGATGTCTTATAATGAATATCTAATTGATGAAATTGTTTTGTAAATGGTCAATCTCTTATTCAATTCCTCAAGAAAAATACATTTCCGTAAAAAAAAAAAAATAAATAAATAAATGTTCCTTTAGTTGAACATATAGTGCAGCACTACAGTTCACGCGATAATATGAAAAACTACTTATTAATTGTTGTTTTAAATTATGTCCAACTTATATGCATACTAAATAATTTTTTTCTCTTTAAAAAAAAAACAACTTGCTTTGTGTGTAAATGTAGTAATTAGTTTGGCATAACTTACTTAACTTACTAATGCTAATGTAATAAAAAAGAATTTGACAAAAAATAAAAACATTTGCATAAATATGTTTAGAATATGGCGTTACATCTTCTCCTCTTATAAAGAGCCTCCCGTGTTTTTTTACTATTAGTAGTAAATAGTTGTAAAAGTGAAAAAAAAATGCTTTAATAAGTGATTTAAAAAATTAGATTTTTCGCTTTCAGAAAAGAAAAAAGTAGCCATTGCATCAGAACTATGAATGGTCTAAAATACTATGGTGTCAGATTTTAACTATCTTTTCTAGTTTACGAGATCTAAACGGGACAGACGGACGGACAGACATTCCACACAAAACTAATAGCGTCTTTTCCCCTTTTGGGGGCCGCTAATAGTCAATGTTCATCCACACAATAAGTATATAAACTTAAATTATGAAACTGGAAGAGATTGTCATTAGCTTAACCATTTAACGACATTCAGTATGACATAGGTTATGACACCGTCGACGCCCATATATTAGACCAAATAAAATAATAACCATATGAAGATTATTATTTACTATTTCATTTGTTATTTAAAAACGGTCTTAATAACTAATGAATGTGATAAATTAAAGTAAATATTATTTTTGTTTGCCCCCCAACCAACTCTCCCCCCTCCAAAAAGCGAATACATTAATATACCCAGAGTAAATACAATTCTAATGATAGTACTATGGAACTTGACTTAGAAGACGGCTCGTAAAATGAAAGTCAATTTCTTTATTCAACTCTTTCATCCTGAATGCAAGCTGGAAGACCCGCTAACATTATGTGTATTCAAGAATGCCCTGAAGTCCAGATCAAATTTAAATGATAAAAGTAAAAGTTCCCTGTTCAGACCCCATGGTGTCTATAGGGCAGACAATGTAAGGTCATCTGTTTCTGTGACCCAACATTAACGAGGGTGATATGTAGCCAGCACAACGACCGACTGCCTTTACTTTTCCCCAATTAATGTCAGGTACCTATTAGAGCTGGGTGAGCTCAGAGAAGCCTTAAGATCCGGAAATTGAAAATCGCATTCACTAGAATTCGAACCCGGGACCCTCCTGTTCGGAGGCCAAGCACTTTACCGTTCATCCACCTCGCTTCATAAATTTAATTATTAGATTTTTTAAAATCATAACGTTTAATACAGACTTTTCCACGTGCGGCCAATTAACTAGTAATTCTTTTCCCAAACATAAACATAAACAATCAATTTTCGAGACATTGTCAAGTTACGTGCCCACCACTGAATTTGCAAGCTGAATAGAGGAAGTGTAATAAAATGGTGTTCAAAGCAGAAAATCTATTGCCGTGCTCTTCAAAGTCCAGCTTGTAATTGTGAAGATCGATCTGTGACCCTGTAGAGACTAAACCCAAATTGACTCTGCTTACTCGATACTTTATAAAGCAAATGGCAAAAAAAAAAAAAATGTCTAGTCTATGCTCAATATCAGACGTTGGGCAGACAATGCAGGGAAAAGTAAATTCTTAACATTAAAAACTGGCTAGAACTAGCTACATTTAGTCACAATTGAAAGACCTTCATTCAAACACGCCAAGAAATTAATATATCTAGCCACACCAAAAGAAAGCTACGTCTAGCCAAAACATATGATTGCTGTTATTACTGATTACTACAAAAGTAATCTCTGTCAAAATGAATAATGAAATAATATAACTATATGGCATCACGGCCGAATATATAGACGACTGGAGTATTTAATAGCAGATACAACCAGTGGCGTCACAAGGGTCGGTGTCACCCGGTGCGGTAAGCTCGGGGTGTCACCCCCCCCCCCCCCAAGGAAAAAATAATGTTCCCCTAAAAAACAAACAACTTTCTTTATGTTGAAAAATAAAACTGTAAGGTAATTAATAAATTGGTTATACTCCAAAATTTGGTTTTCGATTCTATTTTAAAATGTCATTGTTTTTCACATTTTATCAAATATTATTGTATAAATTAAAAATGTGCATTCATAGAATTGAGAAATCTTGAGTTGAACATATTTTTTTTACTAGAGATTATTCTTAAGCTCCTTAAGGAAAAGTTATTAAAATACAC